AGACAGTCGATATCGGATGTGTATCGTGGTTTGTACTATTAGGGAAAAAAGAACGAGGTCTTGGGATGAAGGGCTTGACTGTGAGCTGTGTAGTCAAGTTAGTCACGATTGTAGCGTGATTTGTGAGTGCAAGGAAAAAAATAGATCTCGTGATCCAGCGAGTGGCGATGACCTGTACAATCATGTATGTGGCGAAAGGGTAGCTACAGACTAAATGGCCAAATATGGTCGTTCACTTGTTCGTTCTGTACAGCCAATGGCCGTGAGCAGTTTCAGCCCCATTCCACTTGTCTGATGTTGCTAAGCCGTGTTTGGTGGGGTCCGCCAACGAACGAGTCGTACCGATGGTGACCTTGGAGATGCGTCACTCTGCGTATGTACTTTTCCATGTCTGGGCCCGTCCTGACAGAGACCACCTCATGTGGTGATTGGCTGGCTCCTCGAGTGATGACTTCTCGTGGCTGAACAGTAAACTACTGGCCGGGATGCTGTGAGATCTGCACTGCTGATGATTTCCAGGCAGCTGCTGTACAGTGCTTCTTGGCTTTTCAGCATAGGTTGGCTTGAAATCTGAAATCTCTTCATACTATCAACCAACCAAGGTTTACCTTCCACCCCAGCGTTGCGAACGAGCCTAGAACGTTTGTTCAACTGCAATATTTCCCTAAAAAAAAAACGAGCCTTTCTGGCAATAGCTGTTCTAGTGAACAAACAAATTTCGGCTAGCTCAATCTTTCGGCCGTTTATTTTCTCCCAGAGAGACTATTCTGGCATGTACCTTCGAGTATTTTGAGCAGCGTGATAAAACTTAGAGAGATCACATCATCATCGCTTACAGTAATACACCAATAACCCAACCACATCAACCTGGTAAGTTTAATATGCTGCTCTGAGCAATCGGACTCACTACTAAGTACCTGATTAGGCAACGTTTCGTTGCGGTTTCACTGCAGCCAGCTTGATCTTTCCATGTTCGGGAGACACCAGCGGTCAAACACTTGAGGACGCCTAAAGTGACTGGAACGGTAGAGTTCGACAACCATAGAATGAGACCACTCTTACAGTTGTCCTGTATACACAGCCCTTTACTTGCAGTGAAATCCACTTCTGCCGGCACAAACAACATAAGTTGACAAACGCTGCTTACGCCATGATTTTCCGTGCATTAACTTCATCTGTTACGGTACAATCACGCTTTTCACAGCTGCCAAGATGGGTAACCAAATGAGGCTCTACATCCTGAAGTTTCAGAGGAGATCTTGAGCTGAATTTTGACACCTCGAAGGTGCGAAACACAGGCCGAAGTATGGAACAAATCCCGATATTTGGTACTTTTCGCCGATGAATAAACATCAAACAACAAAGTGTGGATTTCTCTCCTAACGTGAGGATGTTTCTGGACAGTCATTGCGCACCCTTACCTGGCTGGAAGTATGGGGTAAAGGGTATGCAGAATATCTGCGAAACTCAGATTATCTCGACGTGGCCAAGAATATTTAGAAGAGATAACCTTTCCCAGAATCGAAGGCCTCTGTAAGGTCCAGAAAAAGCCGTGATTTTCGGTTGGTCGTATATACGTAATTGCTGCTGTAAAGATATGACCAAACTACTCTCTGCCACGTGGAAATGCCGCTTGACGTTCTCGAACTTGAGTGTCACAAGCCGAAAATGGGCGTTGGACAGTAAGGCAAGCCGATAACCATTTTACAATCGTCAGACTTTAAACCCATATTGTTGGAACAGTAGGTTCAGGTGACATTTTTGAACGAGCAAGGGTACAACCAACGATTGACCCGGATTCTCTTGAGCACCGTCTAATTCCCAAATAAGTGTCAAAGCGGAACACAAATATCCTCCTCGAACTCTGAACGGCGCTGGGGGAAGCACATCTGATCCAGTAATCCACCTGAGGGGAGATCTAACCCCACAGACGACGACTAAAAATGGAGGTCGAACAAAAGAGAGGTAAGAGTGAAGGCTAAACTGCTGCTGAAACTATTTCACCCGACGAACTAGACTTTGCTTGCCAGTATTATTCTTGTTTGACTCACTTATGGAAGGTATTTTAGATCCTTTTCATAAAGGAAACTACTCACAAGATTGCTGAAAACTTCGACAGCCCACGACCGGTTTCGCCCTTCTTGGAGCTCATCAGGTAGGCGCAGTCCCCGACTTTCCATCAACCTTATGATCTACTATTCTATGATCCTATTCTATGGAATGTCCGACATAACTTCCATGCATTCTCAGTCGTAATGACCTCTACCATTTCTTCAGAAATCCTGGTTCCACCACGCCTCCCGGTCCACATACAGACTACGCTTTAGCTATCCTCTGAGCCCGTGTTATTAAGAAGCCCCGGATCCGGAAGTGGTACTGAATATCCTGACATCCATTGGCATCTCTGGGCGCGCTCCGAAGCACCACACCATGTGGCACGGCAGGTAGGCACTGAAAGGGTGCTACAGCTGAGCGATGATAACCTAACATCGTTTGGTTTGGACCTGGGTATGCACAATAACGTCCATCTACTGTTCCACGATTATCCAATCCGCAGAACTTCTGTACGCTTACTCAGCCTGTGCTCGCGCGACTCAAGGATCTGACAGAGAACAAGAGGCTAGCGATTATACACTCATTTGCAAACTAATTTGGTTTCTCGAGAAACTCACCTGGAACCCAGCTGAATCTCTCGTTTGTGGTGTTCAGCTGGGTCCAGGTGAGTCTCTCGAAAAACCAAATTAGTTTGCAAATAAGTATATTCGCTAATTTCGTGCAATTCGGTTTCAAGTGCAACATAAGGTTGACGGAAACCCGGGGACTGCGCCTACCTGACGAGCCCCAAAAAGAGCGAAACCGGTCGTGGGCTGTCGACGGATTTTCAGCAATAGTGCATCACAAGGATAAGTCTTTGAGATTATTTGGAAGGATATATATGTCAATCAATTCATCACGGAGTCTCCATACAGCAGTTTCTATTAAACACAAGCATGTGGTCAGGGCATCGCACGGGGTCTAAACTACTCTGTGCACATGACCGTAGGGCTTCCAATAAATAGCGCACAAGCACGATCAGTTACTTCTGGATGGTCAGATGACTGCATTCCAAGTGCCATCATGAATAAGCTTAGCTCGCCAGGTAAGCGCTGCCCTAATGCACTTCAAAATCCGTAGGAGTTGATCACAACTATTCCAATGCAAGACAATTGAGGCGATTCGGTCTCCCATCCGAAATGTTGCAAATGGTTTTCAATGAGGGTCTCGAAGCTGGTAGATTCACACATTTACTGAAAAGCCTCACTCCCCAACTCTTCCTCAGGATGCCAAATCACGTGTCCTAGTTCATTAAATACATCTAAGACACCAGTAAGGAAAGAAAACACTTGGTTTGCGAAAGACTGCTAGCAAAAAGCAAGTCATCGTCACACTACTACATGAATTTACTGACCAGAAGGTCCACGTTTGAACCCCGACCTTTGCCTCTCAACTTCCCCTGTCTAGGCTTAGGCAACCTGGTACTATTCCAGCCCTCTTGCTCCCTTCGGGTGGCAAGGCAGTTAGGCAGCAAAAAGGCGCTACAGCTGAACGAATTTTTTTTTACCTGTTACTCAAACCGGTTTCATGACGCCACACAGACTAAAAGATTCAGTGCATTCTATCGTGACGACTGATGACGCCACATAGACTACAAGATTCAGTGCATTCTATCGTGACGACTGGTTTGTTGTGTCGGTAACGCTTGCTTTTCATCCGTCACGATTCCCGGTCAAAGATCAGGTCATACGATCTGCTTGAACAAGTTCCTCAATCTTGGGAGATATAATAGGGCATGCTGATGGTGTAGATGGATGCTGGACGTGCATTTAGGCTATAAATGTTTATAGATCACAACTTGTTTGAAAATCACTGTGGTTTCGTTATGGGGATGAACTGAACGACCCATACCCGACAGTTTGGAAGACTGTTCGCCTAACTCTCGTCCTAGATGTTCAAGGTGCCGGTTCAATATGGCCATCACGTGACAGTGATCAGGCGTTTTTGCAGAATGGCGAACGTCAAAAGACTACTGCAGAAGGCCTCCATGCGAATCCGCAAAATTACTTGGGATAATGATCCACGTTATTTCACAACACACTACTCACGTGTGATACAACTGGGAAAATGAGCGAACCAAACAAAAAAGAGCGTCATTGGTGTAATCATGTAGAATAGTCTCCATTAAAAGAGCTATCACCGTTTGCCGTTTCAGTTTCCTATTGTCCTGGTTTTTAGTTTCTTCGAAAAAAAAGTACGTTGACCGTAACACTCTTTCGGAGCCAGCTGAAGGAGGCTCGAACCTAGACAAGAGCAGCAGAGGTTGGGTTCGAACCACGGATCTTCTGATCGGTAAGTTGGCCATCCCGAGCTTTTGAGCCTTCCCCACGTGGGTGGGAGTCAACGTGCTAGTTCAAGTGGAATACACAAAGCACCGCTAACCACTGTAAGAGCCAAACACCACCAAACATTAGTACCACTATTACTGCCTACTTCGCAGTGGGCTCAGAACTCTATATGGCACATTTTCATACGACTCAAAAAGCCCATGAAGATTGTGGAAACACACAAGACGTGCGTGGGAACATGCATTTATATAACTTGTTGGGGGTGGTGAAAAGGGATTATCGAGCTCCTAAATGTTGTTGTTGCTGTTGTGCTTGCTGTGGGTGCATTCGCACCTGTCCACCTCCTGGAGCGGTCCTCGTGGGTTGGTTGTGATGATGCAGCGGCGGTTGCGCTTCGGTAATTATGTTGGAGCCACCCCCACTACTGCCGGCTCCTCCCACGGTTGTAGCGGCAAGGAGCTGAGCTGCAGTATGGCCTGGAGGCGGAGGCGGTTGTTGACCTTGTCCACCTCCCCCGCTCAGGCTGGCCGACGATTGGCTGGCTCCACTGCCGCCGCCGGTAATCGCATTTGGTTGGACATTGGATGAATTGGGGAAAGAGGATGATTGTGGATTGTGAGGTGGTTGAACCACCGGACGGGGAATCTTCTTCAGCAACAAATTGGGCATCTCATTGGCTTCATCAAAACGACGCCACAAGTCGTAAAGATTCAGTAGGTGGCGGGTAACTTCCCAGACCTAGGGTAAAGAAGATACCATGTTCGGGTTAACGTCGCCACATTTCCGGAGATCGGCTATGAATCAACGTGTGTAAACAATCAGTATTAGGGCAAACAAAGATTCCTAGCCACTCCCCTTGTCTTGTTCTTATATCATCGACGAAACATTTCAACGTTTTAACATCAACGACGCTCACGAAAAACGCACTCTTGCACGACCGATTGAGGTCAAACTGAACAGTGCACTTATGTGTTCATGTTTGACGGATGTCCAGATGGAGTTTTTGCACAAGAACTAATAGCTGGGACGCAGACATATAACGTAACATCCTTTCGGTACATAGGTGCCATGTCACTAAAAAGAAACACGAGGGCTGACACATTGGCAGGTTCCACAAGCCAAGATAGAAGCAGCTGAGATGCATAGGTTGGGTTCGAACCACAGACCTTCCAGTTAGCTAGCTCATGATTGAGGTTCTCGAGCTCAGACAGAACTTCAGACTCTTGAGTAGGATGACAGTGACTAGGTTTGAACATCCAATCCAATAAGTGTGTCCTCAGCCGTCATAATCTGCCTATCAAAACGAGGAAGGTGTCACATACAGCTTTGAAATAACATGAGAGAGGTAAGCATCAAGTAGAGTCTGAAGCTAAAAGAGCCGTCCGGTAAAACAAGCAGGACCACAAACGGTTCGCATTTCTGGACGCTTGTGAAGCGCGGATGTCAAGAGCCTGAGAAATATAGACGCAATACACTATTCACGAGGTTACTGAAAAACATCATGAACGAGAGATTCAGCTTGATTCCAGTCTCCCGTCAAAACCAAATTGGTATACAAATGAGTGTATTTCGCTAAGTCTGAGAGGTAGTTGGAAATTAATACCATCCGCGTTGATTACACAGTCTCACTGGTTCGTCGAATAGAGTCGAATTATTCAACTGTGGTTAAATGCACAACATCCAGAAATTCGGAAGAAAGAAGGACAGCCGAAATAACATCAAACACCTTCTGTTCGAATTCAACCGAGCAAACAAACAAACCGGCCACAAAAAAGTCCACTGGAAAGGGAGATTAAACAGCTGTGGCAAACGTGCGAAGTAAAATTTGGCGTCATTAATAGGACTGAGAAGATGAAAGATCAACACTAGAAAAATCATTCAGCTGCAGCGCCCTTTCGGTGCTTAACTGCCATGCCACCCGAAGGAAGCACGAGGGCTGGGATACTGCCCGGTTGCCCAAGCCCAGACAGGGGAAGTCGAGAGGCAGAGATCGGGTCTGAACCACGGACCTTCCGGTTAGTAAAGTCGTGTTCTAACCACTTGGGCCATCTCGCCCTCACCCAACAACACTAGAGGCACAGATGAATTCAAATTACACAGGTAGATAGCTTAGGAGATACCGGAAACACATTTCGTCACGAACTGATTGTCAACTTTGGAACGTACGAGTAGTTGGGACCATACCGTTTCAACTTGTAACTGCAAGAGCATGATGGTTAACTCCAAGAGTGGCGAAATCGACCGCAGTGCTGTTTCCACTACGTCAGCCAGGCTGCCAGAACAGCAGGGTTAGGAAAAACGCTGTTAGATGCGCACTTTACTCTTTTATTGGCACAGCGGTTTCGATCGTTTTATTGATGATAGATCAAACACAAGCACATCAGCTTCCAGGCTGACGACAAAGACAATGGGAGAAGTTGTTTAACTATGTCCAGAGAAGTATATGGTTGAATAACACTGAGTAAAATCTGAATAGCTTTGTGCATGACAGCTGAATGAGAAAAATGAAAGTCACAGACGCAGTCGACTGGTGGCCTCAGGGCACAACGCATCCTCCCTTTGCACTACGGATGCCTAATGGGGGGCAAACGAGTATCCAATATACCGCTCACATTTCACCCAAAATTCTCTCATTATAGGCTTCTATGTCCCAGTAACAGGTGGATAAACCCAAGTGAACGACGCGTCCAGCTGTCCCGATCCTCATTCTGGAAGCTGGTGTGGTCAGTGTTAGGTTCAGAATTGGTGGGAGCGGCCCTAACGATGGCGAATCTGACTACGTATGTGATTCGAAATGCCCCCTGGTAACAAGAATAGTCTCAGTTATAGCACGCGGACGTTAATGTTATTCGGCAATTCTGTTGGAGTGAAGCATCGGTGTTGAACACTGATGTCATGCTGTCGATGATGATGATGGCTGGAGTTAGGCATGCTTGCTCAGTGTTTTAGCTCTGTCCATTACAAGTGCGTGCTTTCCACGTACATCCTTCGTTCCTGTCAGCACAGATGTGCAAACCATTGATCTATTCACTGATGTCTGCTGTCGATGATGATGATGGCTGGAGTTAGGCATGCTTGCTCAGTGTTTTAGCTCTGTCCATTACAAGTGCGTGCTTTCCACGTACATCCTTCGTTCCTGTCAGCACAGATGTGCAAACCATTGATCTATTGGTTAAATGCGTTTCTTTTGGAGATCAAAACGTAAGCGTGTGGCCCAGCTAATGCGCGCCTTGTTGGTTTGTTCTGCACAGGATAGGTGCCTTGTACAATTTATGGTCCATGCCTGAGTATCGTTCAGTCACATTAAGCAATGTACATGAATTGGGGCAATTGCACGTCCATATCTTAGTCTTGGTCTCACTGGCTTTCCAACTCCAGAAATCTCATCCAAGTGGTTCGTTTTACATGGTGAGAACTGATCAGTGAGCCATACGTGACAGAAGTGCGATTGAATCGCCTGCTATTAGAGTCAGCATTCACGCTGTTGAAGTGATTACTCTCACTTTTGAGGTCATAGTTGCTTCAGCTGAGGTTGAACTGTTTCGTGCAAATTGGCCAAGCGCCACGTTTCCAAACGGCCAAGTTTTATTATTAGACGAGCTACTCGGGTCGGTATTAGTAGTTAAGTTTTAAACCTAACTGGTCCGAGAACTTGCCTTTTCCATGTCCACATTGAGCTCGCTGAACCATCGATCAGCAACGACCAGGGGATTGACTGATTGTTGTGGCTGATGTGCAGAATATGCATGTCGGGAGGATGTGTTGGACAATCCAGAAGAACCGGAGACTCCGGCTAATAGATCCGTGTTGTTTGAAAGGAGAACGAAAGCAGTCTGCAGGCAACCTGTTGAAGGGGGAAAGTGTGATATAAACTTGTACTTTCTTCATTAAGAAGCTTAGTTATAACGTCAATAGCTTCTTGGAAAGAAGTATATAAACAGTATTTCGTGTCCGACTAACCCAAGCGACACCTCCCAAAGACACTGTCCCACAATGTTGGCATTTCCGACCAACACGGTCAATCATGACCGCATGTCGCGTTGCCTAGCTTCTGATATTTCAATCCTGCTGAGTGAACCCATTGTCTTGACAGGACTCCAGTAACGGAGGTATCCTCTCAGTGTTACTGTGTAAACCATGTTAGACTATGCTATGTTGTACTGACGTCAACATGAAGGAATCAAACTGTTCAGTCGTGGACAGTTACTTGAAACGGGTTCTGGTACGGCGTGCGTAATGCTCACACACTAAACTGACTTGTCACTCTGGGAGTGCGAAATTGAATGGAATCTAATCGCGTCATAGTAAACGTTCCAAGTAAAGGGGATTTCTGGATTAAAAGCAAAAACCTGTAGGGATATTATGTAACATTCCGTCGACGTACGAGAGGTCTTTACTGCCGAACTATTTTGTACGGGGAAGTGATAACTTCGGCGGGAAAATAAAGTGGCTTATTCTTTCAGGGCGACTCATATGGTCGGTGGAAATTTTGGATGGTTCACTCTTGGGGCTCATCAAGTGAGCGACGTCGCCGAGTTTCTGTCGAGCTTATTCCGATGGGTATGTAGGTTACGATAAGCTGGTGTTAACGGGAAATCCACGCGGATACTTTGTTTAGTGTACTACTCAACCGAATGTGCTGCACAAAAACTGTCTCGCATTCCAGCTAGGAAGATATTCAACCTATCGATGAATGTTCTAATACCACCAATCAGGCCCATGAAAATAGTATAAATGAAATATTCGGAAGACTTTGAACTGAGTCTACCGTCAATCCCTTTTTACTGATGAAATATGCCGTTTTGGTAGATTTTTATTGGAACCTGTAGGAAAATTTCCACATTCTTGTGATTCCTTCTTGATCCCAGGATTGTGTAGAATAGCTGATTAGCTTTACAAAATTATCCTGAAATGATGCCCTAAGAGTCCAGTATCGTTCAGCTGTAACACCCTTCCGGTGCCTAGCTGCCATGACACCCAAAAGAATCACGAGGATCAGGATACTACCAGGGTGCCCAAACCTAGACAGGAAAAGTCGAGAGGCAGAGGTTGGATTCGGACCACTGACCTTCCGGTCAGAAAATTCACGCTCTACCCACTGAGCTATCTCAATTTGGCTGCATTTCTGTGGGGGTGAAGAATACTGGTTGAGGTCGTACAAACCGTGGTAGATTTCCATAACCCAGTCCGGGTATTGATTCATATCAAGTTTCTTCAGTTCTTTCCAGTTCACCAAACGGTGTAAACAAGTTTTTGCTCAACGCCCGAACTAATGTGATCGACTCTGTGTTACCTTATACATGAGCCTCAGTGAGCATCTGAAGCCAAACTATGAGGTTCGAAAACAAACGACGGAAATGGTTAAGCGCCGATGAAGTCCAATTTGAAAGGATGTCGCCCTGAGTTGGATGAGCTTGGTTCATCCCAAAATGCGTCCGCTTGGGCGTTGAATGTCGGTTCAGACTAAAGACAACTAGTTGTCAGAACGACACGCACTGGAAATTCAATCGAATACGTTAGCCATGAAAAAACACGAGACGAATGGTTCAATCAATTCATCAGCTATAAACCATGGATTATGGTACGTCGGTTCCAGCTGCTAGANGAAGTTGCAATAGCGTGGGAGATACAGTCCGCTGGGTTCTTCCAGCAGTTGTGTTGAAGGAGACCAGCTGAACTGTTCCTTGAAGCCCACCACTCAAGCCAACGACAGCGTAATTGCCGTTGCGCCTTCGCGTATTGTTTCGCTGATGCTTGTCTTATTTGGTCGGTCGATAGAATCAGTTGAAACAGGGCATGGCTGTTGTCCGCAGTAAAATCCCTCTCCATCTTCTTGGCCTTCTCAATCCACAGGCGTTCTCCGTCATTCTTCAAGCGTTTGATTATCCGGTGTTTGAGGGATCCGCGTGTGCCGACTGCTGGTATGGTCTTTCTGGCAGTAACACAACCACCTCGATCACATCTAGTGTTTATCTATTCGATTCGAATGATTTGAACAGGAGTTCTGAAAGCTGAGAACATAGCTTCTTTCACTCGCTTCCATTCAACCTTCAACCAGTCTTCGTCATCCACAAGACTGTGCGTTTCAAGTGGCGTTCTAGCCAGATCAAGTCGATACTAAAAACTGTCGAAATCGGTGAATGGAACTGTGCTTTGCCTTGGCAGGCGTAATGCTGCGAAGTGATAACCTGGACCGTACCGTGGCATGATAAGAGTCAATTTGCGTACCTCAGAAGAAACGGCGACCTTTAAAAGAAGCTCTCCATTGGTAACTGATAGCCACATGGTCCAACTGAGTCCACAACTGCCTTGCGGTTGGTGGCCTCCAAGTAACTCGATATGAGAGGATGGTTTGGTTGCGTGTCACAATTATGACCCCATTTATAGGTGTTTGCTGACCTTTGCTTTCAATCGATAAACGCGAACTGTAAAACCGTCATTCTAAGTAGATCGACAAGTTTGGGAGTCTGGCCCACCGCGTTTGGTGCAACAGACAGGCGGTACTCGCTGGTAAAATCTGTTTAATCTGAATCAGAAATGAACAGACTATGTGGACCCCGCAACCCCCGTAACTTGTATTGGTTATGGACTGGTAACCTTTCTTCAGGATAAAAATGACTCCATGGGGAGCAAAATCGTCGATTTCATGAGGTCTGGTGACTACGGAGGCATAACACGGAGAACCAATGTCACGGTCTCTTCCGGGACGTTACTGCGTATCGAAGGAGCGCTGCATTCGTTTGTGTTCTGGTTCGGTATCCGGACCGGTTAGTGACTTAAACACAGAATCCAGTTTTTTTATGTTCCCTTGATGTCCGCATAAGATAGAGCATCAAATCTGTACACCACGCTTACCTAAAGTGTGCCAAATAAAAAAAACTGTTCCCGTCCTTGCTATGACATGATAAGCTGAAAAGAATGGGCAACCGTTCACCCGAAAAAGTTCCTTCGCCTTCATACAGATTGGGAGGAAGAAGGAGCTCTAGAACGACTCAGTGTTTGATACCCGATTGTTTCAAATACCAATGACACTGAGAAGGTCGTTCACTTTGAACCGTGGCTCATGAGTGTTGTGTTTGGGTCTGGACTACCTGTGGATATTGCATCTCTACAGTACTTCCCATGGGGCGTGATGGCCCAAGTGGTTAGAGCGCGAATTTACTGACCGGAAGGTCCGTGGTTCGAACCCGACCTCTGGCCTCTCGACTTTCCCTGTCTAGGCTTGGGCAACCTGGCAGTATGCCAGCCCTCGTGCTTCCTTCGTGTGGCATGACAGTTAGGCACCGAAAGGGTGCTACAGCTGAACGAGTACTTCCTGTGAATTGGAAACAACTATGTGACGCCGTGACTGAATGATGATAATGAAGGTCCTAGTAACTGTGGGAACGTGCCCGGTTGTTGAAACTCGGATAAAGATTCAAAAATCAATGGAGACTTCCCCCCGTAGGTGAGGCCGGTCAACCTATGCGGAAAACCTTAGAAGCACTGTAAAATTCATCCTTATTGTGAATTATCGGCAGTGCCCATCTCACGAAACTCCAGGGGATCTCGAACACAACCGCCCGACCACGAGCATCCACTGCTGCTGCTGATTCTCAATAGGGATGAAACACTTGTACAGCGCTTCTCGGCTTTCCAGCATAGAATGGTCTCACCTACATGAGAAAATCTCTTGAAAATGTCCAAAACTGCCCATCCTACCAACAAGAGTCACAAAACGCATTCAGTTGTCATAAGCAAACAAACCCGACAAAACAGCCAAGCCCAATCTGAACAGCACTTACCGAGCGCCACAATGTAAGGGGGAAAGTGAAAACACACATCAGTCCGAAAACTGTCGTTCACCACCCACCTGACAAAAGAGAGTAAGTGTCGTAAAAAGTCAAGTGAATGTGTTTGAACGAGTATTCCTGTGAATTGGAAACAACTATGTGACGCCGTGACTGAATGATGATAATGAAGGTCCTAGTAACTGTGGGAACGTGCCCGGTTGTTGAAACTCGGATAAAGATTCAAAAATCAATGGAGACTTCCCCCCGTAGGTGAGGCCGGTCAACCTATGCGGAAAACCTTAGAAGCACTGTAAAATTCATCCTTATTGTGAATTATCGGCAGTGCCCATCTCACGAAACTCCAGGGGATCTCGAACACAACCGCCCGACCACGAGCATCCACTGCTGCTGCTGATTCTCAATAGGGATGAAACACTTGTACAGCGCTTCTCGGCTTTCCAGCATAGAATGGTCTCACCTACATGAGAAAATCTCTTGAAAATGTCCAAAACTGCCCATCCTACCAACAAGAGTCACAAAACGCATTCAGTTGTCATAAGCAAACAAACCCGACAAAACAGCCAAGCCCAATCTGAACAGCACTTACCGAGCGCCACAATGTAAGGGGGAAAGTGAAAACACACATCAGTCCGAAAACTGTCGTTCACCACCCACCTGACAAAAGAGAGTAAGTGTCGTAAAAAGTCAAGTGAATGTGTTAATAATGATGACAATATTAAAAATAGTAATGATACAAACTGCGAAACCAGTGAATTTGAGTTTGGTTATCAAATGGAAAACCAACAAATAGTCTTCCATTGGTGCGTTCCCGTTTCAAGATGGTGAACCTAAAAGGTGGGAATGCCCCAATGACGCAAACAAGAGTGCTATTCTCAAACTGTATTGAAGATAAGTGCTCAATATTCAGACTGCAGGCAAAATATCTGTTTCAATTCAAAGCAGTTGCTTCCTGACACGAAGCTACTGATCGGAGGATTCGTGGTTCGAACCCAACCTCCGAAGATCCTGACTGCTGTTGTCTAGGCTTAGGCGACCTGACCATATCTCAGGCCCCGAAAGGGTGTTACGGCTGAACGACTATTTACATATTTCAAACTGTTTCACTCGTCTGAACACCATCTGCTCACAGACAGACAGGTATGGGCCTTTGCTATACACATCCCAACGTTTACACTGAATCCGAACGATTTCAAGTGAAACAACCGTGGTTCATCCGTTTGGGAAAACTCGGAATAAAGTAGAAAAAGGCCTCAACTAGGAAAGAGTAAAGGGGAAAATGACGCTACCTGGTAAGAAAGTCGTGAAAGTAGGCCATCGATCAGCCTAACCAGGACAGTTGTCGGGAGCTGCTCCATGCGAGTTATGCAAATCACCCAAGTGTGACCATGTTCGCCTTGAGTGAATGGGACCATTTACTCTTGCAGTGTGTGTGCCCAGCGAGCAACAGTATGCCCTGACCTTCGAGGTAAAATTTCTCAAATGAACCCGCTTCCATGACCTTGATATGAAGAAAATATCATTTAATAATGAAATTTCCTTCGAAGCTGTTCGTCCACCGACCCGTATTCACAGCCCCTTTGAGCAGATTATTCTGGTCTGCTTGGGCTATCAGTTACTCCAGTGTTTAACCTTCTGTCCACAAACTTAACCGTTTAAAGTTACCTCCGCATATTGCAGCGTGCAACGTCTACCAAGAAGATGGTTACTTTCCGACTGGAGTTTCAGAGGCGAAAACAGAGATCGGGCATGCAAGATCCAGTAGTAAATGCTACTCACTCTTCAGGTTGAGACCAATGTACCTGGCTGGAAATCCTGGAATTTATGGTTACGAAGTGATGTGAGTAACGCTCACGTCATCGGATTCTATCCGGAACGTCTGACCAGTGTTAAGAGTTATAAAACCCTTGGGTGTCTGTGTTAGGATAGAGTTATGCCCATCCCTCACTCCTTTCTGTTTTAAATAGGATGACATCGCTGAAGAACGGCCTCCGAAATACGTGCACAAGACACTTACTAGTCATGCACCTGAATTAGCTTAAAACGCGTCCAGTTGTCTCGCATTTCAAATTTCAGCTGTGTGGCGACGCTAATGCATTGTTTCGTGATATTTCTAGCTTCAAAGAAGCCGCTTTAGTGGACTGAATTCAAGCACACAGTTGTAGTCTGGCTGTTGCGTCGGCCGGCTCAATGAGAGTCATCGGGGTGATATACGGTGGCTGCTTGCAACTCCCCCCCCCACAAATGATATAAATACGGTGTTGTCTGCAACCCACCCCCCCACAAATGATAGGTCAGAAGCCGGGAAAGACTGATTCCATCTTACTTTATCGCGTATAACTCCCATCAGAGGGCAGGTCAGTCCCATGAATACTAAGTAATACAGCAACTGTCCACGCTGGATGGTCTGTACCAATATTTAGGCGGGCAGAGGCCTTACGACCTCTCACGATTGCTTCGGTCAGCGAAACACACGGACATTGCTATCGCGACAGGTGGCGTGAGTGCTCAATCAGATCGGTTAATAATCCCGAAATCACACCTGGGTCACTGTTTCGAAGTGAGACAATCGGGGGAACGACTTATTCAGCTATGTGCATAGTCTATCCATATGCATTAAGACCGTGTTACTTGGAAGCTGCTAACTGAAGATGCAGCCATCAGTTATTGGTGAAGGATCATCATCCTTCCAGTCAGACTAAGCTTCATTGAACAGGACACGATTGGCTAATCAGCTACCTGACGTGAAGAATATGACGCAGCTGGCATACCTGGTTCCTGTTCGGTAGCATGCGGAGATTTGAGATTTTCAATGGAGATTTCGTCCTACAGGTGAAGCCAATCTATGCAGAAAACCCAAGAAGCACAGTGGTTCTTCACTCTCACTGGAAATCATAAGCAGTGTCTCACACGAAACCAAAAAAGAGTTTCGAGCATGTGATCTCCCGGCAAGCAGTTTGAGCACTTGACCGTTCGATCACGAGTGCCCTATCAGTAGTGCGGTGAAATGGTTCAGCTATATCATATTATCAAACGGACGAGCAGTCGATTTGCCACCGAAATCCCCTTGTCGCATTCCGGCATTTCCAACCCAGTGTTCTCACAATGCATGCGCAACGCTTTGAAGGTGATGACTGTTAGAGAGAAGCCCTTTTCCTGTAAAGCCAGGTTCAACGATAGCATCGTGGATCATGTCTCTCGCCAACAAAATATGGCCACATTGTGCCCTGAAATGGATGAAACCACATCGAGCTTTGGAAATCCTGTCACTCACTTTGTTAGCAATACTGTCATCCCAAGAGACTAAGTACCTATCCTGGGTAAGTGAATTTATCAAACCACTTTTGACGATTCACATACCATGACCAACTAGTCTTGAAGTAGTAAATCGCAATTTAAAAGTAAAAAGCACTCCGTAGTGTTACTTATCACGTTCTGAATTCCGGCCAAGTCTAACCCAAGCAGCGCAACATCATCTGGATACGATCTACCTCATGATATAAAAGGAAACAGATACTACAAGGGTTTCCTGCATAAAACAACCCCCAACGGGAAAGATATAGAGCGACCTTGATGAGAAACAAGTCAGGATATTACCCACCGATATGGTATCAGGCACCTCAGTGGTTATGGACCGAACTTACTGACCGGAAGGTCCGTGGTTCTAACCTAACCTCTGCAACTCGATCGACCCACTCGACCACTCCTGTTTACGCTTGATCGATCTGGCAGGATCTCGACCCTCGTACTTCCTTTGGGTCATATAACAGCTATACACCGAACGGGTATTACAGCTGCATGATCATATATTATATCACTAGAATATAATGAAAAACGGCGGTGACGATCACCTTTCTAGAGAAAACTATCGCCACAAAGCAGTAGAGTCGTTGCGTCCGATGCTCCTTTTGGAGCTAAGGTGATTACTACTGGTATTCTGTCCGTCTGGTTGGAGTATAAAGATATGGTTGACACATCCGCGTCCTGAGCAGAACTCTCCTTGGTTTTCACGACCCAGTAATGGGGGTCGACCTAGTTAAGACGATGCATTCACTGATTTTTCTACAAAACGTTGTCTGTCCATGTAAACGATGAGCTTTCATGTACATAGTGGATATCACTTGCTGTTGTTGACTTCGTCGACTATCGGGTATCTCATTCGTGTTGCGGATAAAGAAACCATTCCGCTATCTAGCTGCCATGCCACCCGAGGGAGGCACAGGGGCTGAGATACTGCCATGTTACCCAAACCTAGACAGGGAAGTCGAGATGTGGAGGTCGGGTTCGCACCACGGACCTTCCAGTCAGTAAATCCACGCTCTAACCACTTGAATACGAGGTCGAGCACGGAAGGACACAACGCGGATTATTGTGCGCTTGAGGTCTATACAGTTCGATTGAAACATGGCGTTGGGTCTACTGGTGCAAAACCAAGTGGGGGCCGCCAGTGTAAACACAAGGTAAGACTTGGGACAACTGAAGTACGCAACGTCATCAAGGCTGGAACAGCAAAAAAGTTGAGATTCGAGGACTGTGTGAATGTCACAGTAATGGATCAATTTAATCAAGTTCGAGTCAAGACCGAATTCACAAGGAAACATACCAGGCCCGTTCCAACAGCAGATCTGCCAGTTCATGAAGCTGGGGTCGCAGCTCCTCGCAAAACTGCACAAGTGGTCGATAGGGATGAAAGACAATCAAGGAACAATCCTGAGGGTAAGAAAACAGAGATTACAGTGGTGCTTGGTTGGTACTGAATTTCCATAACCAAAAGCAAAGCGAAATGGTAAGGAATAGAATGCCAACCTACCACGAAAACTAAGTTAGTCGGCATATAAACTCAAAGCAGGGACCGTCGTGTCGTGCACAGTCCTAGTCCAAATAAGAAACGGGTCACGAGAACCCTACTCTGGAAAGCGAATTATACTCATAGCAACGAAGCCTTGGTACCTGCTCCTTTGCACAAGTCGCTTACTTGATGGCTTATGTCGTTGCCATCATGCAAACAAAGCGAACCGGTGGTCCCCGCTAAGAACGCACCCCTGAACCGGATGGTTTCAAACGCAAGACAAGCAGCCGGGACAAGTGCATAATACACAAGGGAGGATAGATGAGCAGTGGAAACAACAGTTTCAATAAAGATAGGGAGAGGGCGCAATTACGCACTTACCATAGCTTCCAGCAGAATAAATTCACACTCTAAAATATCTTGTGCACGGTAAGGATAGCCGAATCCGTCAGGAAAATAGGCAGAGTAGTGGGTTGCAACTAGAAAAGGCGTCGTGGATCACAAAATCACAGAATGGAAGATATACTTATTTGACGACAGGAAGCAAGCAAGTTCTTTTGCGACAGCACACCAAACTCCTCAACCTTGGAGGCCAAAAACAAACAAGAGGGTGCCATTAGCCAAGGATCGATTGCCTTGAGTGAATGCCTGAAAATAGACATTGTGAATTTCGGGAACGTACCACCTACCGACTGTAGAATCGCTTGAAGTACACGGTTGCTGTGGCAATCACTTGCTGACGAACCTCTACACTTTTGCCGAGCGCTTGTATGACTAGATAACAAGATGTCAACCTTGAAATCAACAGTACCATCGCCGAAGAAAAGCATAACCTTTTGGTAGTCCTCCTCGCTGCCCAAAATTTTCAAATCTCCTACTCGGTGTACCATCACATCTTGACGATCTAACAGCCATTCTAAACTGGATAGGAAAATAAAGACGCAGTTAACTTAGTTGCTACAGAGGAATTTGGAGCGACTACCTACTGAAGGCAACTGTCATCAAGGTGACTGGATACATCCCTCCATAGGACCTCTACGAAGTCATTATCAACAAACTGCAGCACCCCAAGCTCGAAAAAAAACTAGCGGTATCGCGGCCCTGGGCGAATGCTAACTATTACAGCAAAATACGTCTGTTACGCTCTACTGCCAGACTCCTTTTCGACTGTACTTCTGGACCGTCGAAGTGCTTTGACTAATAGATTATAGAGATCAAATCGTGGTAGCAAGCGGCGTGGTGGGGACAAGGAAAAATTGGTTCGACGTAATAACTGTAATAGACTATACAGACTGCTTTCTCGTCCACCAAGACGCTGACTTATTCAGGCGCTAATGACTGACGGGCAGCCAGATTCGAATTACCATCAAAGCTCATGGAGCACCCAGTGATTTTCGAACCATGGGCTTGGGACTCTACTGAATGTGGTGAGGAAAAATGCGTTCCAGTCCCCAAAAAGCTCAGTCACACGACATACCCCACCCTGAATATCAATCGACAGGTGAGTACATATGAATCGGTGACCTGAATAGCATCTCCTGAGGAGCTTAAGATAACCTTCCGAATAGTGCACAACGCCAGATGTTCGTGTGGGACCTGAAAACTGACATGTTGTCAGTGAGATTCAAGTAAATCCAGCGTTTACGGAATTCTCCGGTCGAGTGTGCCGCTCCCAAATCGTCGCATAGTTCAGCAGGACCGATTCTTTGAAATACGCATGCACGCACACTCACAAACCGCAATGTGTAGGGGTGAAACTGTCGCAACCATTTCAGAAGAAAAATTTACGGAGAGTTTTTGAAACCAGTCGCAGAGTTTACCATCGGTATTGAAATCCATTATGTAGTCAACATGACTGCAGTCCTCAAAGCACTCTACGAATCACTCCCCAAACGATCACATGAACACTTCTGCCTATTACGTCGTTCGTCATGAATCGAATCTTACAGAAGTTGTGTGCCACCTTCAAGATTTCTGATTTCTGTTAAACCTGGGTCAGTAAAAAATACACATATTTGCATATTAATTTGGTTTTGACGGGAGACTCATAAGGTTGACGGAAACTCGGGAACTGCACCTATATGAGGGACCCCAAGGAGGCTGAACTTGGTCGTGGGCTGTCGAAGAGCTTTTAGCAACATAATGAGTGGTGTGTTACGTCTATACGATGGATCAGTGACGCCAGGAAAGTAGTACAATCTAATTTGCATGATCCATATACCCTTCAGTTATGCTATAGAGGCTATCTATTCAGAATATTGCTTCACGCCTCAAAGTAGCAAACAACGCCCCACATACGACGACTACGGTCCAAAACAAAGCACTTGCGTATAGGTCCGCACGCATTCAGATCTGTCACTTACTAGTTGGAACTGCGCCAATAGCTTCGGGCCATGAGCACCAACACAATACAGGTTGTTACATTGGAACCAGGTGCACCGTACGTTAGGAATAGTGGAGCTGTAAAATGGAAAAGCAAAATGCATATAACCCGAGGAAGACCACAGAAACATCCGATGGAGCTGAGAAAGGTGACCAGGTACTGCAGCTAAGTAGGCATCATCTAATTTTCTGGTCACAGGAGATCCCATAACTAGTCGTGTGCGAACCTTTTGGACTGAACCACCACCAGTGGACGAGAACAACCAGAAGAAACTTCTATCAAAGGTCTAAATTCAACATCCGATACGACTCAGAGCAGGAGATAGAGATGGGCAACAAGTACCAACAAGATAACCAAAAATTATCAACAAAACCAGCGGAATCATATCACCTGATGCGGGACTGGTTTGGAAGCGACGCAATAGAATCAACTTGGATTGATGATTTTTGCGGTGCCGATGGCTGCTGATGGGTACCTGAGGGTAACGCACGTTGTTCTGGAAAGGCTAGAGTTTGGTTTGGAGCAGCAGAGTCTTCGTCGATTAAGTTTGGTTCCCGTTTGTCAATGAGGACGGCTTTATTTTTGATGCCATAATCGACCATGACAGTTTTCTATCGAAATAGCATCCAGCTGAGGCGCTCACAACATGACAGGAGAAGCGGACGGACTCGGTCATTTCCTAATTAAATGAACCACTCAAGGAAGACCGACGTAAAGCTGTAATATTATCACGGTGGTCGGCTTCGTTGCTGCAATGATCCTGTGGGTTACTGTGGCCGAAAACTAGGTCCATTAAGGTCCAATTCTACCAGAAAGGTCAACACGGAGCCGCCCGATGAAAAATAGCGAGCCCCGCACGTTGAGAAATCGTATTATGAGGTGGCCTGGGGGCAAAGCCGTACTATCTTCGGCTACACCAGTGTGAACGCAGTAAGATAAATCCTTTGGGTAACCAAAAGGTCTACATTTATGGAGGCGGTGATGCTGCATTCCCATGAGGAAGAACGCGCTAGAAAAGATCGGCCCTGAAGGCCACCCAATCCGATCACCCAACGGTTGCCCGTGACCGCCAGCACATTATTCAATGCGGTTGAACCGAAGGCAGCTAAAAAAGGCGCGGTCGCATTGGGAGTCAGATAGTTATCCTCTACTCCCTGAACCATCCGGATGGGCCAGCCCGTACAATCAAGTGGGTCAGACGATTGAGTCATCGGCTGCAGGAGCAGTCTCTCTAGAAGCAAAATCCTACATAGCCCCACTGTCCTGTGAGTCAGAATCTTGACCCAAAGGCTCAAGATGAGGCACCTCAACCAAACCGCCTTCTCCGGACTGGGCAAGTAACGAATATCATTAGTTTTTGTAGTTCTTTGTTTACCTACACTTCCTTCCCTCATTAAATGACCCACTGCGGTCACAAAATCTGCCAGCCTCCTTATCTCTGTCCCGCGGCCATGATGTCGCGCAACAAAGTAAACTAAAACAATCCCCACTAAACTGCAAAGATTTCGTCCACTTCGCAGCCTTGAATGTCTGTACTCTGTCAAATTGGCCATCCAGTGTTGAAACCTTGCTTTCCTCCTGTCGAGCTGTGCTGTGTCGACGAAACATGCATACAAGACTGCGAATCGGTCGTGCACCTCAAGCCACTTAGAACGAGTATAGATCCTATGCATTTTCCTCTTTGGGTACCTGATAATTCTAATGCGGTGACCTTCCGAGATATATGTAGCGTTCCACAACTTCCGGCGTCACTCCTAAAAGGCATGTTCAAAGACTGCACGTCCTCTGAAAGGCTATGTAGTGTGTGGGGGCGAAGGACTACACGATATGTCTGCCATTTTAGCAGACGCTTCGGGCGTTTTTTAAAAAAGGAGAAAAATGGCATCTACATGTTTCAGGTCGACAAGGTTTTCGTTCGGGAAAGATATGAACACCGGGGGCTTTGAAGATCTTCGAGTGGTCACATCATTACCTCATGAATGACGAGAGTGGGCATCCTACTTGTAGGTAAACTTTCGAAAAGCTTCCCATACACTATTATGTGCCCAAAAGTATATGAATACATGCAGCTCATGATATTGACGAACTTCTGGGGGCACATTCTATTGCACAAGTGTTCTGAGGACAAACTGATCGACAAAATGGAGCGCAATCTTGAAGTCAAGAACACCGAAATTGTAGGGCGCCTATAAGTATACCGTTTCCTTAACACCTGACGGCGTAAAGATGTGCTACATTCAGTCCATGCCTGCTGCTCTCAAATTCTGTGCTGAAACGCGCCCTCGTAGAAAGACGTAAAAATTTCAGTCTGGTTACAACACTGGCCAACTTAGACAACCGTAAACCTCTTAATAAGGGGAATACCTCACCTCAGTGTGTTCCAAAGTGGTTTCGTTTACAACCATGCAAATTAGTCAACGAACTATGCCGCTACCTAACTCATTTACAGAATTGACACGTGCCAATTGGTTTGAATTTTTTGACTCAAGTGTAACATATGTGTGAAAAACACCTTGTCTGGTTGTATGCCATTTTTGCTGTGCACTCACGCGATCACAAACACGAGCCGGGGTGTGACAGTCTGTCCTCTACTATCGGCGAACCACCATAGATGTGGACGAAACGCAGCTCGATCAAATGCTGAACTTGGAAAGCAATGTCACGCTTGCTTGGCTTGATGGCATTTTGAGTGTACGGGTTTCCAGGATGATCAAATAAACCGGTTATCCAACTCCCCCAACCTCTTTGTCTGCCCAGACGGCCTCCATTTTACGGGCGTCATGCAACCTGCAAATAAGAAGACATCTGTCGACACTGAAACCAAGTTCTCACTACTGAGTCGGAAGTACCAGCGCAAAAGATATATTTTAATCAGGACACAAAGAACAAACTGGTCATTCTTGCAGCATTAAAGGATGCGACCACAAATGTATTGGTTTGGATGAAAGTTGACAACGACCTCAACCAGTATTCTTTAACCCCACAGAAACGCAGCCAAACTGAGATGGCTCGGTGGTTAGGGCGCGAATTTAATGTCCGGAAGGTCCGTCATTTGAAACCGACCTCTGCCTCTCGACTTTTCCTGTCTAGGCTTGGGCAACCCGGCAGTATTCCCTCGTGCTTCTTTCGGGTGGCATGACAGTTAGGCACCGAAAAGGGTGCTATAGTTGAATCCTCCAGCCCTGATGTACGACGAAGGCGCAGCGGTGGACTCCGCACTAAAATTACAAGCAATGAGAGGGTTTGGGTTAACTGTCCAGAAACACGTAGCGAAGTCGATAGACATATCATCCACAGTTGTTGACCTGGACGTCAAGGATCACCGCCGGAGTCCCACTTCCATTGATCAGTCAACCAGGACGAAGCTAGAGTTTTTAACCAGCTGGTGTAACAAATACGATCAGGGGAGTTCCTTCTAAAAAGACAACACTACGGCTTCCAGCGCTACTCCGTCAGAAGTGATCAGTATGACTGCGGATGCAGTCGTCACTCGTGACCCCGGGGCCAGAACCGCATATACGAAAACGCTGTGCCTAAAAATCCTGCGTACGAGTTCGTCACGCTGATCGCGGGCGAGCTGGGATTAGACGGAAACGCAGAAGAGAAGCGACCACAGTCGAATAAGTCACGTAGAAATGCCGCTTGCTGAATTTAAGTTACAGTCATCTGTAAAAACAAGTTTCTTGGGAAAGTAACCAAAATAAATACTCCCTGGCGTTTCAATTAAAAAACCAAGCGAACCGACACTGCCTTGCAGGGATGAGGTGATGACCGAATCGCACCCGGAAGCCAAACGAACACATGTTCATCGCAAATCTTCAAACGGCAAATCCAGGAGTCCAAAATGCTGAATTCCATGCGCTTCAAGCAGCCACCAAGGGAAGGAAGACTGCGTCCCCCAGGAACAGATAGACGGCGCAAACAAGACTCTGATGGAGCAAACCATCCCGATCTCTCCACAGCTGGAAAGGAGGCATGGGAATTCCCAAGAGTGGAAGCAGACAGGTACGATTTACAGGATTATCCTGCCTGGAACTACTAAATCTGCTAAACTATCTGATGACATAAAACCTTTCTGTTCCCCAACTTCGAATATAGCAGAGCACCTGAAATCAGCATGTCGACGCACGCACCAGATATCGCGGACATCTACATGCCTTACTGGATCTGTTACCACCAACCGAAAACACTTCGTCGATCAACTGATGATTGCGGCTCCCCCGGGAATGGTGACTAGTGAGTTTTTATCTCACATGCTACTGACAAGGAACCCGGAATATCAAACGCGGGTTCGAAACTTCTACTGCCCAGACTTCTCAGCTTAAAATGGGACCAGCTTCAGTGGACGAAACAGGAGACTGATGTCCAGAAGATTCACGAAACCGAAGCGGTGTGCGTCCTGAAGAAAGCAGCACGCAGTTGAACGAACCAGGGCAACTAAAAAGGATTCAATCTCTTCTGGAAATGAGGTACCAACTATTCTTCGAAAGGACAATTACACACGACTCAGAAGACTAGCTGGCATTTTACAAGACGCCAAACCGCTGTGAATCAGAAATCCGCCAGTGGAACATACGGAAACAGGCCATGGTATTACACCTCGTTCGGAAAAACTAATAACTACATGATACACCGCCGAAGAAACAAGTCAACCACATTCTCCTGGGAGCACCGAACCGGTGAATCCACAAGTGACATAAAAGTGATGCCCGAGGCGCGTAGAGGACATCATACAGGGCTTCCCCAGTGCTAGGCGAAAAATCCATATCGGTAGTGCTAGCAGCTAGGAGCTACTACGGCCAGGGAGCCTATTCTGCAGAAGATTGGCCAGAGAATTTGGACCGCTTGTCTGTCCGGCATTAAGGCGAGTTCTGATTTGTCGAAAGCATGGACATAACAGCCAATGATGACTCAGTATTACCCGAATGCCAATCGCACATCCAAAAGGCGTTAGAGTTTCCAGGCCCACATAAAATTTCTCTAAAACCATAGTTCGAAAGAGGTAAACTTTGACACAAAGTTTTAGCATGTGATGGTAATAATTCGAGCCTTTAAGATCTCTCCGCACGGGTGCAGTTTTGTTGGAAGTTGTTTAAACGTTTCAAAGCTCACTGTTGGCGCGAATGTCGTATTTCAGTGGCTGCAAATAGCTCCACGTATTGTGTCCGTAAAAACGGCGGGATATACTATTGAAAGGCTTGTTTCTTCAGTACTCTCACCTCTATTGCATTTGCAAGTATTCTCAAGACCACGTTAACAGTAATTGCGTCCTGCACGTTCGGGTAACCTCGAACTGGAGCAGCCGTTCGCGACCTAATAAAGAAAAAGTTTTCTGTCCTAGCAACAGGTGTAACGCCGAACATAGCCAAAGATTTTGTCACAGATTTAGACTTAAAGGGCGTACCGAAAGCTTGATATTTGCTTTGGATGCATTGGTGAGTTTAGGGGCAGAAAAAACATAGGGTGCACACTGCTCTCAAGTCCCTGCACAAGCTAAACGGATTGAAACAGTCTTGTGGGCGAAATACAGTACTCGTCCGGAAAATATTGGGGTCATGGTGAGCTACGGGAAAGTCATCAAACCGAGTATGGCAGTCGTGGTACAGTCACCACAACGCCGCACCTGGGTCTGTGGACAGCCCCGTGCATTAACATCTTGGGTGGGTAGTTCAAGGTTTTCGTTGTAGTTGGGATTTGCCAAATAATCGTGACCAACTAAGGCCAGCATGCATCAAGGACATTTTTGGGTCCGACGAGGGCGCACGCTGGTTCATTTCTGTCATCTAAAAGAGGCAATAAAACGACCGAGCCCACATTGGGGACCCATAAGAGGAAAAAGCTCCAAAATTGTCTGCTAGAAAGCACTATGATGTGAGTTAGACTGCAGCCAGAAGTGGTCACAATTCCTGACCACTGCAGTGAGGCCGCACGACCCAATTTCAAAAATAGCAATCGATGTTCATGTGGAGACGATAGTTATGTGGTTGTTGCGAACGGGTGTTGGCGTACGTGATTGTGAGGGTATTGCATTGGGTGAATTGTGCGTAACCAAAGCGTCCGGAGCTACCAGACACATAAGGTCAGATAAAAACGTGAATGCCTGGTAGTGTCGCGTGTTTTTACACACTAAAGGATGGCATGGAGCTCTGCAAAACGAGTCACCTCTAAAACACCATACCGCGTGTAGGTATTGAGCCTTTGTAAGAATTTTTTGCACCGCTATCAATTACTTTTTCGATTGCTTTGCAGAAGACGAATTATGAGGTTCAGCGTACGCGTGGAGTATATTTAAGGAGAGGACACTCAGCTGAATTGAGATTTATCAACTGTACAGTCTTTCGCATCATCGTGGACAGAATGTGCGGAAGGGGCATGCACATTACGGAATCATGGAGAGCTCCGAAAGCTTCCTCACATAAGACAATGTCCGTCAAGCGCACCTTCTCCTTTCCTCTTCTGAACTCAGGTTCTCAAGTATCTCCCGACAAAAATCTTATCTACTGGTGTATGCAGAGCTCGTTCTCACGTTCGAAAAAGATAAAAAGGTTAAGGCGATTTTGGATGAACCGACTAAAGTCATTGAGTCCATTGGTTCGCGCTCTTCACCCACACAGTGTAAGGCAATAATAATACTATTCATTCATAACTAGTGGGTGGCATACCGTCAGGCATGATCATAAGGTTACAACCATGATAAGGTACGAAGTTGTTCGTAGTTGCGGGCAGTGGATTAGTTGGGCTGTGGGGTGCCGTAGGGGAGAAGGG